ACTCAGTATTCCAAACCGTTACTGTGCAGGTGGAAACCCTGGCCCAGGAGATCGACACAGGAGTGGCAGAGAGCAGCCCGTCCAGAGCAGAGGGGTGTCCATAGGGTGATGCTCGTAACCACCTGACAGTGAGTTAGGAAAGGAGACCAGTGGTTTCCGAGTGTGGTCTCCACCAGCGCGCAAGCCTCTCCCGGAGCTGCAGCTGTGCGACGCTCTGCCGCTGAGACCCAGTTGAACCGGAACTGTGGGGCGGTTTCGCACCGGGGTTTTAAGAACCCCAGAGGCATCTGATGTTTTTCTGCACATTTGGAGCCACTGATAATATCATTCAACTGGAATCAATACGAGAACGTGTCCTAGGAACAATGGGCTCTGTCGGTTTGCACGGAACGGAGAGTTGAGGCTCGCGCTTGGATCGTGGCCTGGGTAGTCGCCGCCCTCCCACCATCCCATCTGCCGGGGCTTGGGAGGTCCTTTTGCCTCTCTGAGCCTCAGTTTCCTCATCTGGACGAGGAGGAAGAGGAGGAGGACAGGAGGAGGAGGAGAGGAGACAAGAGGAGGAAGAGAGGAGAAGAGGAGGAGAAGGAGGAGGAGAGAGGAGGAGGAAGAAGAGTGGAAGGAGGAAGAGGAGGAGGAGGAGAGGAGGAAGAGGAGAAGAGGAGGAGGAGGACAGAGAGGAGGAGACAGAAGGGAGGAGGAGAGAGGAGTGGGGAGGAGGAGGAGAAGAGCAGGAAGAGGAAGAGGAGGAGAGGAGGAGAGAGGAAGAGGAGGAGGAGAGAATAGGAGGAGAAGAGAGAGGAAGGAGGAGGAGGAGGAGAGGAAGAGAGAGAGGAAGAGGAGAGAAGAGGAAGAGGAGGAGGAAGAGGAGGAGGAAGAGAGGAGGAGGAGAAGAGGAGGAGGAGGAGAGAAGGAGAGGAAGGAGGAGGAGGAGGAGGAGGAGGAGCGAGGGGTGAGGAGGAGGAGAGGAGGAGGAGGGAGGAGGAGGGAGGAGGAGGAGGAGGAGGGAGAGGAGAGGACGAGGAGAGAGGAAGATGAGAGGAGAGAGAGGGAAGGGAGGAGAAGAGAGGAGGAGAGAAGAGAGGAGGAGGAGGAGGAAGAGAGGAGGAGGAGGGGGAGGAGGAGAGGAGGAGGAGGAGGCAGCCCCTGAGCCTCCTGCGAGCTGGAAGGCCTGGTGGAAACGCTGTCTTCCTGCGGGCTGGAAGCTGCTATGACACCCCGCGCCCCCGCGCCCCCGCGCCCCCACGCCGCCGCTGTAAGGAGGCTTGGGGCTGACAGGCTGGGAGCCACCTCTGGCAGAGCGGGGACACTGGGCCGTAGGCCACCTGGGCACTGGGGAGGGGCCCAGGGAGGAAGGCATCGGGCCGCCCAGGCGTCACCCTCCACTGCGCCTGCCGGCCTACGCCGAGCCACGGGCCTTTGGCCACCCTTTTGCACATGGCTGAAAAGTTTGACATTTTCTTCTTTGGAATGAAAAGTGCTTTTTTTATTTGCTTGCTTGCTTTTTTATTTTTATTTTTTGCTTTTGTTTTAACAGGATTTTTGAAATCTAAGGCCTGAGAGGGCTATGGGGGCTTGAGGGAGCGGGACAGGGGCCTCCAGGGCATGCAGAGAAACCTCTGTTTACACCCTCGGACACGCCAAGCTTCACCTTGATGCCAACTCCAGTCGGCAGGTTCCTGACTCCCGGAGCCCCGTGTTAAAGGGAATCTAAGGCCACATCCAGGCCTGCTGGAAAGAGCACGGAGATCGATTAGTAATGCCTGTCCTGGCCCTGGGGGGTGGGGTGGGGGTGAGGTTGCCATTCTTCATCCCACTCCATTCTCTTATTGAAGTCCATCACCCCGGAAGCCTGGGGCTGGTTCCAGCTGCGCCACTATAGTGTCCTGGTATCGGATGATCCTAGTGTAGACGGAAGGAATTTATGTCTTAATTCCCAAGCCCCGTGGTGTCTATTTCTGGCTGCTTCTTAGTATTCAGGGATTCCCAACACCCTAGTTAAAGCTAAACAGTTTGCTCAACCTCCCTGATCACCAGTTGGCTAAACTAGGCTCACCAGAAAGGCTCCCAAACCGGAAGGAAGCTTCCGAAGATGCACTCTACAACGTGCAAAGCTCTCTAAGCCCAAACTCTCTGCAAGGCATGGACAGGCCACACAGGAATGAGAGCTCCATTCCAGCCACAGGCTGGCCGTGTGGCCTCGGGCATGGCATTTACCTTTTCTGGTGTATTCCGTGCTCAAAACGTATTTATTGCACACCTTCTCTGTGCCAGGCACAGGCTGGGGGACCAGGCAGCCCTGCCCCACCCTCGTGAAGCTGGACTCCCGGACACTCCCCGTTTCGGAGGAGCTGTGATGCTCTCTAAGAACCTCCCGATTACCAGGAAAGATTCTTGGACAACCAGCATGCCCTGAAGATGTCGGCAGCCGGAAGGCAAGGAGGGGAAACTGGCTGGACAGTGATGACAGGCACAAAAATTGCCCCCCGCCAAGATGTCCACGTCCTGATTCTCACCACTTACGTGGTGACAGCGAAGGAATTTTGCGGATGCGATTGAATTAGGGATCTTGAGATGGGGAGATTATTCTCGAGCATCCAGGTGGGCCCAATGTCATCTCAAGGGCAAGAGATCAGAGGATGGAGAAGGCAGTGGGGCAACGGAGGAAGCAGAGATTTAAACGGTGTGGCCACAAGCCAAGGAATGCAGGCAGTCCCCCCGGGTGCCGGAAGGGACAGGAATCCACTCTCCCCTGGAGCCGCCAGCAGGAACCAGCCTTGCTCACACCTTGATTTCAGCACCTTAAGGCTCATTTTGGACCTCTGACCTCCAGAACTGTAGTGATACAAGTCTGTATTGTTGTAAGCCGCTAAGTTTGTGATGACTGGTGGGAGCAGCTGCGGAAAACTAATACAAGGACTGTTTCAGTAAAGACTAGTAAATGGACCTTGGTGGCAGGCAGATCTGGCTGCACGTGCTAGCTGTGTGACCTTGTGCAATTTCCTAACCTCTCTGAATCTCAGCTTTCTCTTCTGCAAATGGGAGTAGTGGCGTCCCTACGCCAGATGGTTGTTGGGAAAATGAGTTGGTACATATAACGCGCTTAGAACACAGTCTGGCACACTGTTGGCATGCAATAAATGTTGGATTTTTTTCCCTCTTCTATTGGGCATTGAAAAGCCTGGGACGCTGCTCGAATTGGCCATCCTAATGCTGCATTTTGTTCAATGTCACTCCCCCTGCTCAACAACATTCCATGGCTCCCCATTTCAACGTCTCGATTCTGGTCTATGAAAATCCCCCATAACCTGGCTTCTGCCAACCTCATCTCCCAAGAAAGAGAAAACTAAAGGGATGTCAGAGGCGAAAAGAGATCCAGGAGGAGCCAGACCTTCAGACGCCAGCTGAAAGGTCACTTTCTCCCAAACCCTGAGACCAGGCCAGTGCCCTGCTGTTCATTCTCACAGCATACCACCCTCCACTGTGACACGCTGATCACTTGTGCTCTGGGGGTGGAGGGGAGGAGGGGTGCAGGGAGGGAGGGTCTGGGGCCAGACACAAAGGGGCTGCTCCCCAATATATCTGTTAAATGCATGAGTGGGTGGGTGATCAAAGTCAGCAACTCCTCAGGCCGGCTGGACCGAGGGAAGCAAGGACCCCTTCCTGAAGGCCGAGTTCCAACTCTTAACCACTGCGAGGACAGTCAAGTCAAGTCACCAAGACAGGACGGTCGGGCCCTGGGCCAAGCATCCGCACACGCATAGCCGCCCAGGCCAAGCCGCTCCGGAAGCGTGATTCGCGTCTGTGGTCTGTGTCCAGACAGCAGCAGCGAGCCTAGCAGCAAGCCTCCCGGCCTCCAGACCCGGCTGGGCTTGGGGAGAGAGGGGGCGAGGGAAGGGGGCCTCCCCGAGGGCTTGGGGACTGTCTGAAGGGGAGGGAAGGGACAGAAGTGAGACTTCGAGTTTGGGGAACTGGGAAGGAGAAATGGAAGGAAGAGGCTGGCGGCGCAGTTGATTCCGTCCATGAGATGGGCCTCCAGGCCTCTGGACTTTTGGCCGGGCTGGAAAGGGTTAACGGCACTGAGGGGGAAGGGGTGGGGGGAAGGGGTGGGGGATGCAAAGTGAGGAGGCCGGGCTCTGAGGCCAGGGGAGGTGGCTTTCTTGGAGCTGAGCGAGCCCTGGGGCCCTGCCGCCCAGCCCCTCCCTGTGAAAGCGGAAGAGACAGTTTTCCACTCTGGGGCTGGCGGACCACCCTGGGAGCCTGGGGCTGGGGGGTGGGGGTTGCGGGGGGGTTGGGTGGGGGGGGCTGGCCGGCTGCTGGGCTCATTTCTCCCCGACACCTGACAGGGACGGGAAGAAGCTTGGAGCTGGCGTGAGACCTGTGGCCGTTCCTTAACTCACAGGTGATGTCCAACGGCACGGCACGTAGCTTGGTTCTGGAAAAGCTTCCGTTTTCCCAGGGGATGGAATGGAGGCCCAGAGGAGGTTAGCAATTGTCTAAAGCCACACAGCACGTCCTGAGCAGCTGATTGATCCTCCCAATCCCCAGAGAGCTTCCCTGCCCCTACTCCACACACACACACACACACACACACACACACGCACACACGCATGCACACATGCACACACACACACACAGAGGCTTCTTGTGACCCCTGGCCATCTCTCCAGTTGCATGGCCCTCCTTCCCCCCTCCTACTCTGAACCTGAGGTTTAAAGCCTCGAGCACTTTTGCAGGAGCTGCCCCTTCTGCTAGAAATACCCTCTCTTGTCACCCTGTGCCTAGCTGGTTTGGTAACCCCCTGGGCATCTGTACAGACCTAGCTCAGGTGTTCTCTCCTCCAGGCAGCCTTCCAGGATTGCCCCCTTTCTTCCCACTTACCTCTGTACTTAGCCAACGTGTCCGTCCTTCTCAAATCACACTGCTCTTTCATTTCACCATGTGCACATCTGTCTCCACCGCTGGGCTGCTGTCACTCTGGCTCCAACACCAGACCTGACCCGTACTGGAAATGGCTGATATGCGAGCCAGCCCCCATGCCCTCACCTCGCTCCCCGGGGCCAGCTGTTAGTATTAGCCGCTAGCCATGGATGAAAAGCAGCAAAGCCACTGCATTTTAGGGTAGTCCACCCAGTGGGCAAGAGCACAGCCTTTTGAGGTCAGAAAGATTTGGGTTCACATCCAGGCCCTGCCACTTTCTTGCTGTGTGACCTTGGGCAAGTCACTTACCCTCTCTGGGCTTCCCTTTGGCTGTCCTGTAAAGTAGGGATGGTAATCCCGATCTCACAGGACTAGCCGGGAGCATTCTCTGAGATGGTGCACAACAGGGGCTCAGAGTAAGCACTTGATACGTGGTGTCACTGTGTCTCTGTGAGTTGTTTCCGGAAGCCTGTCTCCCCTGCCCCTTGCCCCCACTCTCCCTCCTGGCTCTGCCCTTGCATCTTTCGCCAGGTCCCTGTCCCTGCTGTGCTGTAATGCGGGGGGAAGGAGAGCCCAGGCGCCCGGATTTGCATCCCAGCTCTGCCACTCTGCTGTGTGGCCTTGGGAGAGTGGCTTCACCTCTCTGAGCCTCAGTATCATCCTCTGTAACATGGGGATGGTAGTTGCACCCGCCCTACTGGGCGGGGTCCTGTGAGAATGGAAAGAGTTTGTACTTGCAAAGTCCCCTGAGCAACGCCTGGCACGAACCGAGTGCTGGCGGGCCAGGCAGTAGCCGGAAGACCCGAGCTCACCATCCCGGCCGCTTCTTCCTCCACCCTGTTCCTCCTCCCTTCCGTTGCCGGACTCTGGCGCCCTGCCGCCTCTCCTCCCAGCCCGCCCATCGGTGCCCAGCCAGTAGCTCGGCTGCTCCTCTCTCCTTGTCGGGAAAACCCAAGGCCTCCGAAATCACCGGACATTCACCCTTCCCGTCCTCAGACCCGCCCAAGTCCTCAGCCACCTCCATGGCCACCAGCCTCTGGCTCTCTCTTTAGAGGACCCCTTTCTTCCAGAAGAGTCCAGATGCAACTCCAAAATATAAGGCCAATGGAAATGGACCTGCCTGGCTAGGGAAGGCAGGGACCACGGGGCCACACCCCTCAACCCACTGGGTCCCCTGGTGCCCTCCCGGGCTCCACCTGCACATAGCTCCAAGGCTTCCAATTAATCCAACACTTCACCACCACCACCACTACTTTGGGTGGTGGGGGGACTTCATTTGGATGTCATTTCAAACTTGGAGAAAAGCGGCAAAAAATAGTACAAGGAGCTCCCTTATAGCTTTACCCAGAGTTACCAATTAGCTATATTTTGCTCCATCTGCTCTGACACTATCTGCGTCTGCGTGTTTCTTTCCTCTCTCCCTCCCTTCCTCCTCCTCTCTCTATCTCTACCTCCCTGAGTATTTTATATCCTGAATCACTCCCATTTCGCAGGTGGGTAGACTGAGGCCCCCAGGCCCTGGCCCCATGGCCTCAGGCTTGGGGCAGAACCTGGCGTCCGTCTGTCCGTGAGCTTGCCAAAAGCCTACAGAGATATTTGAAAAACTCCAATCCCAGGCGAATTGGCCCGGGAATGCCGAAGGAAAACTGCGACATCGAAATCAGCAAACGTCTACAACGTGTTCGCGAGTGCATCACACCTGCACCGCGCCGCTTAGAAAAAGCACAAACCGCAAGAACACGATGAATAATTTATTCTTCACAAAAGGCCATAGCATATGAATTATTTTAAAGCCTTTTCAGATTTTTTTTACAAGAAATGCACATTGGTGGCGAGATCTGCAGAGGCGCCCCGAGGCTCCCGCGAGGGAGGGTGGGGCCCCCAAGTGTCCCGATGCCAGCGCCTTCATCAGGGGCCTTAACGCCAGCCCTGCTGGCCGCCCGGCCCCTCGGTGCTCGCTCGGATCAGCCTGAAGACGGAGATTTTTCCATCTGTTTTCACAAAGAGACTGTATGTACCTTTTTATGTGGGTCATTAAAAAAATAAAAATTGTGAAAACACGGAGCAACACGAGGAATTCGTCATAGCAACGGGGCTGCCTTGCCTATTTTTGAAAAGTGAGCTTCTCTCTCCTCCTCTCGGTGCAGAAAGTTTATTTTCCTGCCGGGGCCTCTGAGTCAGACGGGAACGCGGGACGCGGGCTGCCGGCCCTGCGGGGAGAGGGGTCTCCCGGAGAAGGAGGGCTTTGTGCTCAGGGGTCGCCGGCCTCGGCCCCCCTCGACTGGCATCTGCTCTGAGAGCCTGAGGACGCCCTCGGCACCTCTGCCCCCCCCCCGGGCCTCCTGCTCCGCTGTGTCGCACACCCCCACCTTGCCGAGGCGCAGCTGGGAGAATCGCGCCAGTTCTGTGACCGGTGCAGCGTGTCCTGGCCAGCTGGCAAGCCCCGGCTACGCAGGACCATCTCCCAGGGCCACGCTAGGGCCGGTCCTAGCAGATGATGAGCTAAATGTCACCAGGGCCCACGTGAGCCTCAGAATAGCAATTGGGGCAGGTAGAGGGCACTGCTTGCCTTCCACCCCCACTGCATTCCAGCTGTGTGACCTAAGGCAAGTGGTCTAATGTCTCTGGGCCTCCGTTCCCTCCTGGAGGTGACAATAGCAACAGCGGGCTGTGCTGGGCAGGGCTCGAGTTAAGCTGTATGTCTCAGCCCATTCAGGCTGCTGGAACAATACCATGAACCGGGCGGCTAGACAGCAAACGCTTATTTCCCACGGTTCTGGAGGCTGGGAAGTCCAAGATCAGATTCGGCGTCTGGCGAGGCCATCCGTTTACTGCAACCTCACCTGCTGGAAGGGGTTAGCGTTCTCTGCCCTCATGACCTCACCACGCCCCAAAAGTCCCCACCTCCTAATACCATCACCTTGGGGGGTGGGATTTCAACATGTAAAGTTTTTAGGGGACACAAACATTCAGACACTTAGCACAATGCCTGGTACTTAACAGACTCTCAATAAATATTTTTATTATTTCTTATTAGTTAATACTTATAATAATCAATAATAACATCATTATATATCCTACCTCCTAGCCTTCAGAACACTCTTTTGTGACCATTTCTTAGGAACAAAGCAATGAAATCAGAATCTCTGCTCTGTCCGTTACCAGCTGAGTATGGCCTTGGGCAAGGCATAAAACCTCTCTGAAACTGATTCCTCACCTGTAAAATGGGGACGTAGTATAAGCACATAGCTCAGCTCCTGGCTCATATTGAATATTCCTAAACGCTGAGTATTATTATTATCAGGGGTTGGAAAACTACAGTCCATAAGCCAAATGTGGCCCACTGCTTGTTTTTGTAAATAAAGTTTTATTGGGACACCACCGCACCCATTCACTTGTGCATTGTCTATGGCTGCTTTCACGCTGCAATGGCAGGCTGAGTAGTTGCAACAAGAGACCATCTGTAGGCTCGCAAACCCTAAAACATTTACTCTCTAGCATTTTAAGAAAAAGTGCATCAACCTCTGAATTTTATTGTTATGACCTTATTTAATAGCAGTAATTGCGGCACGTACCGCATTTCGTCTCCCTCAGTGGATGACACAAGTTAAGACTCGCTTTCTAGGAACCACCTAACAAGCCGTGGTTGGGCTGTGATGAGCCAAAACCCTCTGCAAACTGTTTGCAGTAGTGTATGGGCAGAGAGTTCTCAAGGGAGTCTGTGACCGATGGGAGCATCATAGTCACAGGAACAAAATAAGTGTTTGAGAAGCTCTCTGGTGCCAAAATCAACAACTCCCTCCAATTTCCTGGGCTTACGGGTTCCAGGACAGTCCCACTCCCAGACATTCCGGGTTCACAAATAAGGTTTCCCTTTGTGCTGCTTTGTTGCGTGTTCTGAAATAGCTGGCTGCCTCCTGGTTCACATATTTCCACGTTCCTTTCCTCTGATGCTGGGGACAAAGAACAGAAATTGAAGCCCCAAGATGTCCCTTAGAATTCAGCAAAGGAAACCTGTGGCTCATTCCCCCCAGAACGATGCCTTCCCACCTCTGGTCAGACCCACTCCTTCAGAACGCAGGCAAGAGAGAGGGACCTGCCCTCTCTCCTTGGTTTCACAGGATTTTGGTTGTGTGATGTAGAAAACACCACAAAAAGTCATCATGGACCTCCCAGGTCTTGAGAATCTCTGTGGCCACACTCCTTGGCTTGTTCCATGCCCACAAGATGTCTGCTGTGGTTTTCACTAATCCAGGAGTATTCGCTCCTAAAGCTTAAATGGGGCCCTGACACCATCTAGAATACCTGTTGGACTTAATAGACCATCAGGGTCCAACGCCGGTTGGACCCCAGCCCCTGCCTTGATCAGAGTTACCAAGGCTGGTGCGTTCCAGGCACCCTGATGCCAAGAGGCCACCGCCACCTGTGTGCACTCCCTTCTTCTCATCTCATCCTTGTTTCTTCTCGGCACACTACTGACGAGAGTCGGAGCTCCAATGATCTCAGGAGATACATCAAATGGCCGGGCGGAAGTGGGGGGGAAGCCTAGGTCGGGCGCAGACAGGAGTCCATCCCTGGGTTGCAGGTTCCATGAGGGCCTGTCCACCATGTCTGTAGTGCTTTCTGCTAAATCTGCAGCCCCTCGAGTACCACCTGCACAGAACCCAGGACCCCACACCCAAATGTCAAAGTCCACAAATCCTGCAGTAGGAAGAAGGAAATCTTTGACTAGGAGTCAAGCTTCAAGGTATTATATAACCATGGTGACACCAATAAGATGACTGCCTTTTTGTTGTTGTTGTTGTTCATTTATTGGAACTTAACGATGATTCTAAACCTGGAAATTTATTGATAATTTTCAAGGAAGCTGTAAACACACAAAGTTATGCGTGCATGCCCCTGTGGACACTGGCTTTTCTGGGAGGGGGTCTAAAATTTTCATCAGATTTTCAGAAAGGTCCCAGAACCGCAAATGGTTGTAAGCATGAAACCATGGTGCCTCTGATGCCTGCTACTACGGTGGGCATATAGTAGGTGCTCAGGAAATGTTTGCTGTGTGAATGAATGGATCAATCCATGACAGCTTAAGGCACAAACTGCCTGATTGGAGATTTCCTGGGTGGTCAAACCCCACTAGTCTGAAGTTTTAGGGTAACTCGAATGGATTCTTTTGTCAGGATACTTTTTTGTCATCAGGGAGAAAGAGGTAAATTAACAGTGCAAACAAGAAGGAGTGGAAACGGATGTGGAGGGGAGCCCACCACCGGCAAGCAAAGTGTTCGCAGAACTCCCATTTAGTGCCCTGCTCACTGAAGCAACTCCACAAAGGTTGGATAGATCGCAATGGGATTGGAACCTTCATACTCTGACGATGGGAATGGAAGATCGGGCGGCCACTTTGGAAAACAGAATGGTAGTTCCTCAGAAAAACAAAACATGTGACCCAGCAATTCCACTCTTAGGTGAAATGATGCTATTAATGTCCACACAGAAACTTGTACATAAATCTGTATGTAATAAATACAATATTTTATATTATATATAATATTACATATAATCGTACTATATATATTATATAGTAAGCATATTATAAATAAATTAAATATAAATATATAACACATTAAATATATGATGTAACATTACATATTAAGTACATAGTGCTATATACATATGTGTGTATACATATATATCAAGATGTTTTATACACACACACACACACACAAACAAAACCTCTTGGAATAGACTGATACTTCTCTCATCTACTGACCAAATGACAAAGAAAAATGAAGGCGTATCTCTGCAGGTCTAGGGTAGTGCATTTTTTTTTTTTTGAAGCCTCGTAATTTATTTGCAAAATTCAGACATATTTTGCCTTCTACTTGAAAAATGTGGCCAGGTTAATTTTAGTATTAAAAAAAAATTATTTTTTCCAAATCTGTGAATAAAATCTGTGCTCCAGGAAGAAAAGAAAAACCATTTAGTAATATGGGGAAGTGTTAAGTTAATTATGTTAAGTCCTAACCTAATAGTAGCTGCAGTAAAGCAGTTATACAGCTCAGGGTACAGGATTAAGTCCGCTAGGAGGCGGGAGAAGGGGGGATTATATACATATGTGTGTAGAGATATTTTCCATATATATATATATATATAGGTAGTATTATAAAATTGCAGAGAAAAAAGACTGGAAGGAAATGAGCCAGGATATGAGCAGTGGCTATTGCTAGGCAGTAAAATTGCGATTGACTCTTTTCTTCTTCTTCTTCTCCTTCTCCTTCTCCTTCTCCTTCTCCTTCTTTCTCCTCTCCTCCTCCTCTCCTCTCCTCCTCTCTCCTCTCCTCCCTCCTCCTCCTTCCTTCCTTCCTTCTCCTCTTCTCTCCTCTTCTCCTTCCTCTCCTTCTCCTCCCTTTTCTTCTTCTTCTTCTTCTCCTTCTCCTTCTCCTTCTTCCTTCTTCTTCTTCCTCTTCCCCTTCCTCTTCCTCTCCTTCTCTTCTCTCCTTTTCTTCTTTTCTTCTTCTTCTTTCTTCTTCTTTCTTCTTCTTCTTCTTCTTCTTCTTCTTCTTCTTCTTCT